GGCCCTGACGACGACCCTGATCACGACTCCGACGACGATTTTGATTCCGACCACGATGACGACGTCGCAGCTGACGACACAGACGACTCCGACGACGCCGCCGACGACTCCAACGACGACGCCGCAGACGACGACCGCGACGACGACGACGACGACGACTTCGGGGACGTCTCCGACGAGGACGTCGATTCTGACTTCGACGACGACGGCTACGATTACAATTTCGACGACGACAGCTCTGACTCTTCTTATGCAAAGACGCCTCCGCCTCCGAAGACGACGACTCCGACAAAGACGACTGCGACAACGACTACTCCGTCGACTCCGACGACGACTGCGACTCTGGCTCCGACGACGATGGCGACGAATCGGACGAAGCTAATGACGAGGGCGACGACTCCGACGATTCCGACTCCGATTCTGGCAACGACGACAACTCCGACAACGACGACGACGTCAACGACGACAAGGAAAACGACGACTTGTAGTGGCCTGGCCGGCCCAAACTTCCTGTTCTTGCCTCTTTTGGGAAAGACCGTTTGTCGGTCTGGGGGGAAACTTCTGGTTCTTGGTCTGGGGGTGTCTGACAATTTAGACTCGACGACTCTGACGACGATGACGGCGACGACGAAAGTTCTGATTACTCCGATGACGGCTCCAAGAAATGACTCCAAAGACTCCGACTCCGAGGGCGACGACCTCTTCGGCAATTCCAGCTACGCCTGCGACGATCTTACCGACAGCGAGGATTTCGGCAACTCCGACGACGACGCTGACTCCGACGATGCTAGCGACCACGACACCGACGACTCCGACGACTCCGACGACGACTCCGACGAGTGATCGTCGGAATCGTCCTCGTCCTTGTCGTCGTCGGAATCGTCGTCTTTGTCAGTATCGGAGTCGGAGTCGTCGGAGTCGACGGAGGTATTCGAATCGCAGTCGCCGTCGTCATTGGAGTTGTCCGATTCGTCGCCGTCGTCGTTGGAGCCAGAGTCGTGGTCGTCGTCATCGTCGACGGAATTGTTGTCATCGGAACCGTGTTTGTCGGAATCGTCGTCCTCGGAGTCGGAATCATTTTTGTGAGTCAGAGCCGTCGTCTTCGTCGGAGTAATCGTCGTAGCCGTCGTCGTCAGAATCGTTTGAATTATCGGATGGCCACGATGAAAATATCGCCTCCACAAGTTCACAGAAGAAGTCCAGGACAGGCGAATTTCCCTATGTGTGGGGCAACGTTTTCCACTTGCGCATGGTCCATTCTGCACTGCACTGCGCGCATTCAACAATGACAAAACACCGTGATAGCAGCAAGGGTGACATGAAGGACCTGTGGAACCTGTGGGACCTGTGAGACCTGCGAGACCTGTGGGACCTGTGGGACCTGTGGGACCCGTATGACCTGTGGGACCTGTAGGACCTGTTGGACCCGTGGGACCTGTTGGACCTGCCAGACCTGTGGGACCTGCGGGACCCGCCGGACCTGCGGGACCTCTGGGACCTGCGAGACCTGTGGGACGTGTTGGAGCTGTGGGACCTGCGGGACCTCGACCTGTGGGACCTGCGGGACCTGCGAAACTGGCGAGACCTGTCGGACTTTTGGGATTTATGGGACCTGAGATAACTGCGAGACCTGTGGGAACTGTGGGACCTGTGGGACCAGCGAGATCTGTGGGACCTGTGGGACCTGCGAGACCTGTGGGACCTGCGGGACCTGTGGGACCCGTCTGACCAGTGGGACCTGTGGGACCTGTATGGCCCGTGAAACATGTGGGACCTGTGGAACCTGTGGGACCTGTGGGACCTGCGGTCCCTCTGGGACTCGTGGGTCCCGTGGGACCTGTGAGACGTGTAGAACCTGTGGGACCTGTGGGACCCGAGGGGCCTGTGGGAAATGCGAGCCATGCGATATCTCTAGGAACTGTGGAACCTGTGGACCTGTAGAACTAACTCATGGATTTGCGAGATCTCTGTGGCCTGTGGGACCTATGGGACGTGTGGTGCCTGCGGAACCCGCGAGACCTGCGAGCCATGCGCTGCCTATGAGACTTGTCGGACCTGCGGGACCAGTGGGACCTGTGGGACCAGCGAGACCTGTGGGACCTGCTGGACCTGTAAGACTTGACACAGCGATGGGAGATAGGGGGCTTATGGGTCCCGTGGGACAAGTGGGACCCGTGGGACTCGTGGGACCTGCGGGATCTGTGGGACGTGTGGGGCTTGTGGGACCTGCGGGTCCTGTTCGACCTGTGGGACCTGCTGGACCTGTGAGGCCTGTGGACCCTGTGTGACCTGTGGGACGTGTGGGGCATTTGGGACCTGTGACCGCCGAATGCTCAACTAAGGCCCTTAATTGTGGGACCACCGTGCCCCAACATAAGGACCTGACTCGGGACCCCAGGGAATCGAACGATTTTTCGTGGTTTGGGCCCCCTGGGGGGGCGGGTTAGTAGGGCGCCCGAAGTTTCCTGAGGTCCACAATGTTTTCTTGGAGCGGGAGGCCAGCGTTCAAACGTCCCAGCGTGGCCATCGACACCCCCTGAACAACCACACCGCTTGGAAACGCGAAGCAACTGTTCTGCCGAGGCGTGAAGGCGGATTTGCTGCCGTCGACGCCGTAACGGCACTGCATCGGATAATCCGCAAGCAAAGCAACCAAAAACGTCATGCAGGCGGGCGCGACCCCAGACTGCACCAACAGTCCCACCGGAGAGCCCACTACGCCCCACGATGGCCCCGAAGTGCCCCAGAGATCCCCAAGAGGCCCCCCAAGACAACCCAACATGACCCCTTACGACAAGCCCAATACGGCCCAAAAGCCACACGTGAGGGCCCAAGAGAGGCAAGAAGACGATAAGGATACTGAGGTGAAAGAGGGGGAGGCGTGACAACAGGAGGGCGGAGGGAGGGGGAGGGCGACGTACAAAACGAAGGAGTACGCCCCGAAACGGCGCGGATGGGCGTGTCACATGTTGAGGCCATTGCACGGGTATGGGCGACGATCTGTCGCGTGGTACGGCTTTATGAGTGGTGCTTCTCGACACGCCGACAATCGCGGCAAATCGGCATAACGCATAAACCAGATTCTCCACGCGGAGCCGCAACGCGTATGATGCATCAACGGGGTCGCGCCCTCCGACTGGGCCCTCCACTTTGAGATGCGCGCAGTGAGCGACCAGCAAACCATACTGCGATTGAGGAAGGGGGGAGGCAAAGGGACAGGTCGGGCGAGAGGCGAGCAACCGATCATCAACGCCGCGCGTGGAACGCGCAAGCGCATGGCGACAAACAACGGAACGACTCTCCAAACCACTGGCGTGCAGCCAGGAAGGGAAGGCGGGGCGGGGGCCCCCTGCGCCCCCAGAAGGAACACGCTTGGCGGCATGCAAGACGGTGCTACGGGATGCGTCGTCACTGAAGGGGCCCTGGGACACACGAATAAATACACACAAATAAAAATATTCCCCATATGTTCCCATTTTTTCTGGGTGTTTGGCTTCCCCCCCACTTCCCATATTTTCCCATATTTTCTGGGGAATAGCCGATTAATAATTAATCGGCTATTCCCCAAACACAATTAATCATTAATTGTGTCTGTGTGTTTCTTTTCCTCCTGAGTCACGCAGGGGCGTGGACGGGGGCACCGTCGCGCAAACTCGGCGCAACCACGCCGCGCGAAAAGCATCGCAGCGCGGGGTCCATCCACCCACGCAAGACGCGTGCAGCTGGCAAGCGAAAAGGGCGTTGCGCGCCGCCTGAAGCATCGTGCCGCAATGCCGCAATGACCACACTGATACTCTAATGCCAACTCCCCTGCACAACGTGCGCGTGCGTTGTGGCAAACTGGCAACGCCGCGTATGATCGCCATTCGGCTTCGCGCAAACACGTCGAAGGGGTTCTCCACGGGAAACGCGCTGCATGCGGCAAGGCTGCAACCTTACGAGAAAACACTGCGTGAAATAAACACATGTGCCAACGACCGCCGCAACGCAGAGACAGGCACACAATAACATTTAAACAACTACCAGAACGTCTGGATGCGGTGGTTTCTTGTGCGGTCACCGGAGTCGCGTCGCAGTCGCCGTCGGAGTCAGAACGGGCAGAGTCTCCGTCCTCGTCGATGTCGTAATCGTCAGAGTCGGTGCCTGAGTCGTCGGAGTGGTCGGAGTCGTCGGCGTCGTCGGCGTCGTCGTCGGAGCTGTCAGCGCCGACGTTGTCGAAGTCGCACTCGCGGTCGGAATCCGAATCGTCGTCGGAATCGTGATAAGCGCTGTCATCGTTGCCAACGTCGGAATCGAATCGAACGGAGTCGCTGTCGCCATCGGAGTCGGAATCGCCGTCGTCGGAGTCCTCGGAGTCGCCGTCGGACTCGCTCGTCGTCGTCGTCGTCGCCGTCGGAATCGTCGGCCCTAGTGGGAGCGCCTTCATGCTGGCCGACGCCCATTTCGGCACGACTCTTGCGCGGATCGTGTCCCAGATGGAGCTCTGTCTGCGGCCCCAGAGGTGACGTCTGCATGCGGGCCCACGCCGCCGTGGTCGTGGTCGCGGTCGTGGTCGTCGTCCCCGATGGCAATCCTGGCTTCATCATCATGATCAACCTTGGCTGGATGATCCCTCGTTGCTTCATCATTCATAGGAGGAGGAGGAGGAGGAGGAGGAGGCTGAGCAGCCGAACGTTGTCTCCGTTTCGGACTTTTATGGCGTGCAAGACGGCCCCGGAGGTTCCCAAGACCGCCTTCGGACGTCCTCTCCGCTCCGAGGTTCCCCCCAGAAGGGCCCCCGTGGCCACAAGAGAGTCCCCAGAAGGAGTCCTCAGAGCGCTTCACCGCCAGGCCATCCAGAAACACCCAAGAGGCTGCCAGGAGCACCCCATGAAACCTGAACGAAGCCCGAAGAGAGAGCCCGGGCTGACACTCTTCAAAGCCACAGCGCTCCCGACCATGTCCCCACTGCACCTCACGCCCGCAACCCAGTCAGGATGGCGGCGGGATAGGCCCGAGGCCACTGAATAATAGAAGACCTCAAATCCTCCCTGGCCTCTGCGGCCTGGGCAATCTGACGCGAACGCCGGTGCCTCTCCTGATCCGTGGGCGCGGCATCCGAAGACCTCGTGTCAGCCTGGCCGCGCATGGCCCTCATCTCGCTCACGAAAGTGATGGCCTCCTCCAGTTTCGAAGTCGTCCCAGAGAAAAATACAAACTCGAATGGAGTTCCATTCAAGTCCAGGCTGAACGCCAGGTCCCTGTGTAGTCTGCCACTCTTCCCGAAGGACGCCTTAAACTCCAAGTTCTGCAGAGCTTCCCGGGGCACGCCCAGGATTGTCTTCGAGAGCGTTCCGCCTGTTGTGCCGCTGGAGACCCCGCCGACCCTGACACCAATCTCTCACCACAGCCTGGCTCCCCCTCTTCTCTGTTGAGGGGCAGCGGCAGGGGGGGACCAGCTCAGGGGGGGAACACCGAGCGGAAATCGGCGATGCATCGCCGATGGACTGGTGATAGAACCCCCGAGGCGATGAATGGGCGAGTAAGGGTCGATGCATCCCCCCCGGGCCTGCCCCCCCGCTATCGTTGCCCCCGGTCTCCCGCCTAAATTCGAAGGCCGTGCCCCTCGTCGACTCCCCGCTGGCCCGCCACTCCGCCCTCCCCGAACCGAGACACCGGCCAGCGGCGCAGCCGCTTCGGGCACGCACTGACCCGGGTCGGAGTAAACCCGGGCCAGTCGGACTCTGCAGGATCCTGCAGGACCCTGCACGGGTCACTGGACCCCTCAACAGGGGAGGTGTCGACCCCTATCCCAGGCTTCGTGGTGTATTGGGATGGACGAGAAACTCTGGGCCCAACCCTCGGAAGCGTCCAAATAACCCCCCTGGGGTGCATCCCAGGGCTTCCCCTGTCCCGCAGCGGCCAAACGTGTCGGGCGGAACTCGGGGACTGGGTGAGAACAACCGCCTGCGACCCCTGGCTCTGCAGGATCCCGCGTCTGCATGGACCCCCACCGATCCAGGCTCCCGAGATCCCTGGCCGAGCACCCCTTTTTCCCCTCCGGTGCCAGGCCCCCCGCCACGGCGGGGCCCTGCGAGAGGCTGGGCTCCGCCCGCGGCTCGAGGTGGATGCACTTGCCATCGCTCGGACGTCCGTTCCCTGGGCCCGTCTCGGTCTCGTGCGTGCTTGTCGTTGCCAGACGGTCGAGGATGCTCCTCGAAGGCCCTCGCCGAGGACCAAAAGGCCCGTCGGCGCTGGGCGGGCGATTTGGGGGATCGATGCGCCCCCGCCGAGCGGCACGGGTCGGGCGGGCGCTTCCGGCCGCCCCGCCTATGTCGATGCCCCGGTGGCCGGGGAGGGAGCTCAGGGTGCGCAGCACCTCGAGGACCTCGATCTGCAGGGCCACCTATGCGCGGTCGACTGGCCGCCCGACCGCAGCCTAAAGCAGATCCTGGCCCCCATGTTCGGCATTCGGTGCCGATCGTAAGGATTCCCTCAATTTCTGAGGGCACATCCCGAGGATTGTCACTACCTTGGTGTTGCCGACCTTAGGGATACGGATAAGTTCGAGACTGGTAACCCCACCCCCTCCCACGGGCCAAGGTGGCCCAACCATATGACTACGGTCAAAGACTTCCTCTTAACGTGCCGCGGGCGCGGTGCCAAGAAAAGGTCGAAGCGTGGAAACGGAAAGGGGACGTGTTTCGCGTGTCGCGCCAAAGCCTGGTCGGCGAAAACTGGCCGCAACACGCTGCGCATCCGACCGCTATTTTTTTGGAGGGAGGCCCGTCCCAAGTTTTTCCGCAGGCTCTGGGGGCTCTCCGCGAGGCGCGTGGGCGCGCGGCAGTTCCGAGTTTAAAGTTACCCCGCACGTGCACCCTTCCATGGAAAAGCCATCGCCTCCATTCTGATTCGGGGCCGCGCAAGCATGGATCAGGCGATGTGCCCTCCCCAAAATGCGGCCAATGCCGCCTTTTCGGCGGCAGAAATCAGCGATTTCCCATGGAAGCGGGACCCGTTGCTAATCCACGCCCCCTTGATCCATGTTTGCGATCGCCTGACTGATGCCTGGGGGTTCGGAAAGGAGGCGCTCTTCTTAGATCTCGCTGCGCGTCGATGCTTCGGTGAGATCACTCCCCCTGCCCAAGGCGCAGGGACACCTCCACAAGGGAAGGCATTGTGTTCACAGTTTCACCCAGGCACATATGGGAGGTCGGCTAGAGGAGGAGGAGGGAGAAATATAAGAAAGGGGATGGGAGCAGGGAGGAAGGGAGGACTAAGAGAGGAGGAGGGAGGTGGAGGGAAGGAGGGACTGGGAAGAGAGGGGATGGAGGAATATGAGGGGGAGGAGGAGGACCTCCCCCTCCTCCTCCTCCTTATCACTGCCTCCTCCTCCTTCCTCCTCCTCCTCCTCCTCCTCCTCCTCCTCCTCCTCCTCCTCCTCCCCCTCCTTGTCGTCGTCGATGTCTTTCAGGGTCAGCGGCACCGGCCGTCAGGCCTTCACAATATTAGAAAGGAGATGGGAGCAGGGAGGGAGGGAGGACTAAGAGAGGCGAGGTGGAGGGAAGGAGTGACTGGGAGGAGAGAGGAGGGAGGAATATGAGGGGGAGGAGGGAGGGAGGACTGAGGAGAGAGGAGGTGAGTGGGGGGAGAGAAGGGGAGGGACGGAGAGAAGGGGACGGACGGACGAGGAAGAGGAGGGCTTGAGGTAAGATGGCTCTGGGGCGCCCTAGCCCCGTTAGTAGGCTTAGCTTCCTGGAGTGACCACCCTGCAGGGCACGGTGGCCCGATGTGGCAGTTGCCCTGGGCCCATCTGGGTCCAGACCGCACTGGCTGGGCCATCGAACTAAAAAAAATCTGGGCACCGTTCCCCAAGCACTGCGGCTCCTGCGTGGAAATTCAGACTTTGGCACCTTCTAAGTCAGCGTGAAATCGTTGACACCATACACTTGTCGACTCAATCTGGGATTCTCAATGCATGGATTGCCCTATCGGTCTTGCTCTTGATCTTTGCTTGCAACTTCGCAACCCGTGGGGGCAGCTCGCTGCCGGTGCTGGCACCGTTGAACAAATTTCTCTACGGTGCGGGGGGGATGGAGAGCAAAAAGATCGGCATGGGCAAATTGGATAAGGAGATGTCCGGAAGGTGGCCAGGGCAGGGTGGAGAAGAGAAGTGGAGGGATTAGAAACCAAGGGAGGGAAGGGGAAGGGAACTGGGAAGGTCTAGGTATCTCACTTCCTGGGATCACGGTGTTGGTGAAGGGGTGTACTAGAATCGGGGGACCCCCTCGGCAAGGGACCCATGCTTGTGAGACTGACGCCTAAGGGTGAGATAATCTGCGTAGTGTGCTTGCGTGGTGTATAGACGCAATGTATCTCGCGTAGCGAATGGACGTCTTTTTCCGCGTGAGAATAGCGCGTAATGTTTCCGCAGAATGGCTTTGCGCCATTGGTTCCCAAGGTCGACCCACAAGACCGGAAAAGGATTCAGAACTGCGAGGCCCGGGGACGATTCCAAGCACTTCAAGTGGGCGATGGGCAGTCGCTATGCTGGAGATACCAATGGTGATGCCACCGTGCCAGGGGCTTGTGCTCCTCTGCGCTGTGCCGCACCGCGCCATGACGTGCCGAGGGACGCGACACGTAGTGTACTTGCGCAATGCATTTGCGGAGTGTAGTTAGGTAGTGTACTTCGCGTAACGAACGGATGCCATGTTTTCGCGGGGAATGAACGCGTAGCGTTTCCGTGTTGTGTTGTGTAATGTATTATCGCCGTGTGTTTCCATGATCGGCCCAGAAACCCGGAAAGGGATTCAGAACTGCGAAGCATGGGGACGATTCCAGGCACCTCAATTGGACGATGGGCAGTGGCAAGGCTGGAAGTAGCAACATGGATGCTACTGTGCCAGGGGCTATGTTGGGCTCCTCTGCGCTGTGCCGGGCCGCACCAGCCCGTGCCAGGGGACGCGACACGTAATGTATGTCAATAGTGTACCTGCGTAACAATATTTGCACCAAGTATTTCGCGTAGCGAATGGATGTAGTGTTTCCGCGTGGATATACCGCGCTGCATTTCAGCGCCATGTGTTTGAGTAATGTTTTCGCGCCGTGTGTTTCCACGATCGGCCTAGGACCCAGGAAAAGGGATTCAGAACTGCGAGGCCGGTGGACGCTTCCTAACAGCTCAATTGGTTCATGGCCAGTCGCTATGCTGGAGATAGCAATGGTGGTGCTACTGTACCAAGGCCTGTGTTGTGCTCCTCTGCGCTGTGCCGCGCCGCACCATGACGTGCCAGGGGACGCGACACGTAGTGTACATGAGTAATGTATTTGCGTAGAAATATATGCGTAAAACTATGTGATGTGTTTGATTGCGCGTTTCCGCGTCATGTGTTTCCATGGTCGACCCACGAAACTGGACAGGGATTCAGAAGTGCGAGGCCAGGAGACGCTTCCAGTCACCCCAATTGGGCCATGGCCATTGGCAGCGCTGCAGATAGCAACGGTGATGCTACTGCGCCAAGGGCTGTGTTGTGCTCCTCTGCGCTGCGCCGCCCCGCACCATGACGTGGCAAGGGACGCGCCACGTAGAATTTGTGAGTGGTGTATTCGAATCGTGTTTTGGCGTAGTGTGTTTGCGTCGTGTATACGCCTAGTGTACTTCGCGTAACGAATGGACGCAATGTTTTCGCGTGGACATACCTCGTCGTGTTTCCGCGAAGCTCGTTTGTCCAACTATTTCCACATCGTGTGTTTCCATGATCAGCCCACGAAACGGGAAAGGGATTCAGAACTGCGAGTCCTGGGGGCGCATCCAAGCACCTCGGTTGGGCGATGGGCAGTTGCAGTGCGGGAGATCAGCGGTGATGCTACTGTGCCAACGGTTGTGTTGTGCCCCGCTGCGCTGTACCGCGCCGCACGATGACATGCCAGGGGGCGCGCCACGTGTAGTGTAATTGGATGGTGTACTTGCGTAGCGTTATGTGCACACATGCCCGCGTCTCTTGTCAGCGCCGCCCGGGTCCGCAGGAAGCGGGTCGATAGAGAGCCGCAAGAACGCCCTGCGACGGCTCGCTACTCTAAAGGACACGGCGTACAAACACGGCACAAAAAAGAAACCATGCGCAACCACTGAGGTCGCCCGCGATTCTCGTCAGCGCCGCCAGGATCGCCAAACGACGGGCCGCTGGATTGCTGCAGGAGCGGCCCTGCGTCGGCGCGCAATCCGGCAGGGCGTCGGTACGGTGCGGCTCAGCGCTGCAGTGTCGGGACCATGAAATCCTTGAACCATCAATCTCGGTTCAGCGTCGTAATTCTTAGGGACAGCAGGATAATTTCGTTTGTTGTCATTTTCGGCTCCTTTTTTCCTACCATGTGTCGCGCCAACGAAAAGGACTGACACGTTCCGGGAATGTGCGGTCGATTTCTGCAGCGGCAGCTCCTCGGTGAATGCGCGTTGCCGTAGTGCCGTCAGGTCCTGCTGCGCATACTTCAGACCACTCCTTGTGCCGGCTGCTGGCAGGTCCAAGAAACCGCTGTTCAAGATGGTCACGTAGCGGATTTATACATAAATAGATCTATAGAAGTTAAGAGAGAGCGTGATCCACCGCCGCTTTACTATGGAAAATTGCCAGCCTTTTCCTCCGGACCCGTGGGTCGCCCCCCCCCCCCCCTCCGAAATCCCCCCCCCCCCCCCTGCTGGAACCCCTCCCCCCCCCCCCCCCCCCCCCCTCTCCCGGCAAAACCCCCCCTCACCCATCCCCCCCCCTCCCCCCCCTCCCGCTCGAAAACCGGGGGGGGTCACTACCGGTTCGAACCCCTCCCCCCCCCCCCCCCCTACCCTCCGGATCCGGAAAACTGGAGGGGGCCACTACCGGTTCGCACCCCCCCTTCCCCTTTCCCCCCCCCCCCTACTCACCGCCAGCAAACGACTCCCGGTCCCCACCACCGTCCGCATCACATCCCCCACTGGTGTTCCCAGCACCACTGTCCTCACCACCGCTGTCCCCACTGGTACCACCACCGCCCCTACTGTCCCCACCAGTGGCCCCACCACTGTCGCACTGTCCCCGCTGTCCCCAGAACTGTTCCCACCACGGTTCCACCACTCTCCCCACTGTCTCCACGGCCCCAACCACTGCCCGACTACCCCCACTGTCCCCACTGTCCCACTGACGTCCCACTGCGCTGTCCCACTGTTCCCACCACTGTTCCCACCACTGTCCCCACTGTACCTCCGTCCCATTGTCCCACCGCCGTCCTCGCCACCGCCTTCACCATTGTCCCCACCACCATTGTACCCTCCACTGTCCCACTGTTTCCACCTCATTCCCATTGTCCCCACACCACTGTCCCCACCACCACCGTCACCACCACTGTCCACTGTCCCCCCCTGTTCCCACCATT